ACTCTTAATAAATCCTAATGTGAAATATATTATATACCTCATGATTTTTCGTAAGACTTTTGAAAATTTCAATTGAATACCCCAAGATTTTTAAAAGTCCTAAAAAATCTTAACAAATATAAATTGAATACACCATGATTTCTAAAGTCTTAAAAATTCCATAAAAACCTAATTGAATACACCCCTAAATATGCAACACTTGCCTGTTTTAATTTATATTATAATTATTAATTAATAAGCCAGTTTTTGTATGATTACTTGTATTTTTTATAAGGTTTATTTGACTAGTTATTTCATTAAATTAGTTTATAATATTATACCGGCTTTCTAAGTGTGGGTTATGAGTGTGTTTCAAGTAATAAAATGGTGATTTATTATTACATTGAGACTGAATGAAGATAAAATTAAGCAGTTGGTGTTTTTATTGCTTCTCTAACGATATATTTTTTAGGAAAATGCTAAGGTATGTTACGGAACCATTCTGTCGAAACTTGTAACCGTTAGATCATCATGTAAAACCGTCAGAAATAGTTGATCTAACAGTTACAAACTCCGACGAGATGGTTACATAACCTAAGTAATGTGTACTTTCAACGTACGAATCTGACCATAGTGTAGCACAAAATTTCTGTCACTTTATTTATTTTATTTTTACACGGTATTCCAATTAAAAGTTTGATGTGACAAATTATTTATAAAATTAGTTCACAATTTTGGAGACAAACATATATGAACGGTAGGAAAAAATTATTCCGCCAGAAGGATTTAAGTGGGCATATATGTGGAAAATATTTTCTGCAAACAATTGTGTCTCCATGTCTTATGTCTATATTCCAAACGAACGAAAGTAGAGATTTTGTTCTTTTCCCATTATTGGTAATGTTGAGAAATTGACAAATATAAAGAAGGTACGTTTTGAATCAAATTCCATTTTCTTTATTTTCTCCGCCGTTAGCTAACGAGCCGAGCTTCGCACTCCGTATTAAGTATAGTTAAATTTGAAAAAAGTGGTTGTTACATAAATTTTCGAACTTTTAAAATAATTCGGTTAGGTAAATTCAAAAGCTCGTTAACTAGTCTAGCTCGAGCCCAAACTTGAATATCGAGAATTCAAAATCGGCTCGACTCTATCCATCTGTTTGCTTGGGCAAAAGGTTCTCTCTTGTGATACCATGTAACATATTAAAGAAAAAATAACCTTAACGATCAAAAAAAAAAAAAAAAAAAAAAAAAA